TATAGTAGTACATGTATATCAAAGCTTGTATAGAACCTATATTACAGAAAGAAATATTTTCAAGCTGTAAGAACATAAAAGTAATACCTAAAACTAAACAGAAAGTAAACCACATAATTTTCATTATTTAACAAATCTGATGACTACTTATTAGCTGGATATAACTGAATATTTAAGCGGATTTTCAAACTGAGATTCGAACTCATTGCATTTTATTTTTAAAGTACCAGAGGTACTATTCACGTATCTACTCGATCATATAAGCCATCAGTTGTGGTAAACTGCTGTGAAATATATTTTCTTATATTAAGTGTTAGGGAGTTGGAACTTAATCGATGTTCATAATTTTAAGTAATAATAAAATTGGAGTATCAAATTACCACAGAGAACACGTTCACTGTTTGGATTTCCTTAATTTTTCAAGAAACATATTTGTTTTTTAAGCCATAAAAGTACTCAGTTTATGAATATGTTCCTTTAGGTTTTTTAAAACATACCTTTGAATGGCGGCTGATATAAAAGAAAAAGTGACAGTCGAACAATATGTGTCATTTACAATCAAGAAAATATGAAAAAAAGTCAAGCACATTTTGTTTTAATGATCAAGAGTATGTATAGTATGGATTGACAGATGCGAATGAAGTAAACTTAGTATCTCTTATTTCAAAACTGGTTTGTATTCAGAAAGTTGTTGAAAATACTTTTTTCACCACTTCTTCCATAATAATCCAGTATATAACTTTCTCTCAGATATATTTGTTCGCATCTTCCCATCTTTCACTAACCACTCTAATGTAACCGAATTCTCCTATAACATTTGGAATTGACCAGTAGACAACTTATTCATGGATTTTAAAACACAAACTGATCTTAGTTAAATTACTACCGAAAACGTAGAGGTATTGGATAACCGTTTTGTCTTAACATGAAACTCTTCAACAGTGTGCATCCAAGATTAGGAGTTTGAGCCTGGAACAGAAGGTCTTGTGTTCGATTTACGGTTGTAAGTTTATGGACGAGCACTGCTAAAGAAACCCATAATAAAATAAAAGGTTTTCAATGGCGGTTTACCTACGATCAGCTCATAACGCAAAGCTCAGCAAAAGCATGTGATCCACACAATTCTCTACACAGATATTATGACCTATTAGCTACTTTTTAACAGGTAACTATACCTGGTAAAGCACTACAAACATGATTACACTGATTTGGCATGTGATATCAACGTCAGGAAAATGTTCTTGGTTGAATCGTCTTCGATAGCATATTGAGTTTCTTTTGTTGCTTAACAACAGTTTTTTTCTTTCATAAGATAATGCGCGAGATTTGTAAAATACCTAACAAGCTGGTAAATCGAAATATCCTCGAAAGTAAATGCCAGGTACTGAGTTGTAAATCTTAAAGTGGATATTTTTATATCACTTATCAGATAAAAGACGTAAGCAGTAGTTTATTAAAGATTTTAGCAAAGTCTGAAATAATTTACATGTAGAATTTCAGTTTTCCAAACTCCTGGCAAATGTCTCAATGGACTCAGTAGTTAAGTGGATAACGTGATGAAGTTTGAAGCGAGAGATACTCGATTCGATTCAACTCTAGGATACAGCAATATCCAACTGACTAGTCTGAATACAAACAAAACGCCCGTTCTGACTTCCACTACCAACCACCATTCATAGTGACAACTTTTATCATATTAAAACACTGCTAATTCTAATTTGCATAAAGTCGGGTAATCAGATAACACGTAATGTCCTAAAAAAATCAATCCTCCATTGACCGATTGATGTATTTGATAATGGTTCATCTCTTACAACTGGATGAATGGATATACCATGAGCTGTCATTTTGGCTATTTTGAAATTTAGATAGGTTATTTATTCCCACTTGATTATGATCATTTTGTGACCTAATAGTCGTGTTATGCATGAGTGAATTTTCACCTCAAGCTAAACCTGGCAAAATGATACGAATTCATTTTCGTTTCACGATTCGCCATCAGCTAATTACAATCGAAACAAAATGGTGTACATACTTCATGTCATAATATAGGAAATGTGCTCATCATTAAAAATGCATTAAAAGAGTAATAAATATGGAAGGACTATAAGGAATGTGGATATTTATAGGTTGGATACATGAATATTCTAGGATAAAATCGATGAGTATAGAAATAGAACTATTTAGGATTATAATATTAATGTTATAGTTATTTAAACTTTGAAATAAAATGAAATTGACTAAATACAGAACAGAATAGAAGCAAAAGCTAACAACTAGTTTTGTGAAAAGGAAAAATTATGTATTAAATATTTTTACAAGGAGGTTTTGTGGAGATTTTTAAAAATTTTATGGTTGAATTCATGAGTCAATTAAAGCTAGACTACCATGGAAAACCTGAAAGCACTGAACGGCCACCTCGTCCTATTTTGGGACGCAGCAGTGCGCATCCACGATCCTACCTCGAGAGATTCGAACCCGAGACCTATCATTATTGCGCGCGAACGGTTAACCTCTAGACCACTGAGCCGGCATTCAGCAATGGTAATGTCTTACTTCAGCCAATCCACGAAATTGCACAACTGTCCTCTATTGTTTTCAGAGATTTACTACCTCACAGCTGACCCGGTTGAACTCCACTGGTCACTGCTTTCACTAGAACTCCAGGGATTGGTTTGTATTCGAACTGGTCAGTTGGGTATTGCTGCATTCCAGAGTTGACTCGAACAGAGTACTTTTCTTTTCAAACTTCATCCCGCTATCCACTTAACTACTGAGTACGTCGAGCCATTTGCCAAGAGATTGGAAAACTGAAATACTTTGTTCTTGCTTTAACTAGATCTAAATATAACCACATGTTCAAGAGTAAACAATATTATTTATGGTTTATAATATTTAAATAATTCACCTGAAGCTTTAATATTCTTGAATTAATTTCACAAACTAAATTTATCAACTCAAAACCTAAACTTCAAACAGTATTGTATTAATATTCAAAATAAATTGATGAAGCCACGCAAACTATCAAACATCAGATTATCATTTTATCTTAGTTTACGATCATTCAATATCACAAATTCACTTTTTCACATTGGATCAAACCTATCACATCATATTCTCACAACAAGTATTATTTATTTATCAGGCATTGAGTCAAAACTAGAATGATATAACTGTTCAGTACTTTTTAAAAAAATGTTTTATTTAGCACTTCTCAAGTTGATATCAGCATTTAAGTCAGACAAATCATCTTCAGTTCTTTCACTTTGTATCTTCGCTTCAATTCACAGAAAACACATGAATAAGGCATCCATGGCAAAGTGTTACTCATCAGATTATATATATATATATATATATATATATATATATATATATATATATTATCAGTTATCAACATTTGATTTATAGCATTTCTGTTTTGTTTCCAAACGCTAACATTTTCAACATCATTTGTAATTTATAGAAATGAATAAAGTTTTTGTTGTTATAGTGTTGGTATTTCTGTATACAATTCGATTCTAAATTGTAATCAGACAAATGAAAATATAATGAGATTTTGATTGTATCCATTGAATAATCAAACTGATGTTCGTTTTGTCTACTCTTTAAAATAAAGTAGATAGATGGTAGCATTTATTCATTGAATTATGACATTAATATATGAGTAATTTGAATCTTGTATTTTGTACTGATGTGAAATATTTTCTAACGTGTTTCATGTTCAGATTACTTGTTTCACATCTCTAAATTCTTTTTTATTTATCAATCGAACGAAAAAAAGTTTGAACGAACAAGTTATGAGAAGATTCATCTTTTTTTGCTAATCAATCTTCAAGTGATTTGTTATTTTTCCGAGTATAAGAAAATAAAGTTTTTTTCATCTTCAAAACGTATAGTTTGTTATTGGTGTGGGGTTGTGAAGACTGTTAAGTTTTTGATTGAGATAATGAATCGATGAATGTTAGATCACTATTGAAAACCTGGAAGCACTGGTTGGCTGTTTCGTTCTGGTATGGTACTCGGCAGCGGTGTCCGTCCACTAGCCTGTTCTCGGGATTCGAACCTAGGACCCATCGGTCTTGCGCACGAATGCCTCACAGCTAGACCGTTTAACCGGCATCTAACTCCAACCGATCCACGAAGTTGCGCGACCCTCTTTCAATGTCTGTCTCCGCCTGACATGGATTAACTCCACTGGTCACAGCTTCTCACTAGGACTTCAAGAATTTCCACACGAAGCTAGTTACTAGTGTGCGTGGTGGAGAAAAGTTTCTACTTCAGACAATCGATGTTCACGCAATCTCGTGGATTGGTTGAAGTTAGACATTAAAACCGTTGAATGCCGGCTCGGTGATCTATTTTATTTACCAGAACGAAGTTTTTTGTTCATGTTAACACTACTTGAATGTGGATATTTTATAGAAATATGCGCAATAGATTGTCCACAAGTACTTTCAGGTAGTAGCATAATCTCACCATGTTCCCTGTTCTAATAGACTAAATTTATAGATTAAGAAAAACCGTTTGTGCATTCTGTGTTAGAAAGCATAATGTAAGTTTTTTTTCAATATATCCCGTGTAAAGCATAACGTGTCGAGTAAGACCTTTGAGTAGACTCAAAGGAAGTCAATAACTTGAACATGTTTTCCTGTTTATTTTCCTTATTATATTAGTTGATACTCATCACAGTTTTTTCAGTCATTTCACTGTAAAAACACTTCAATCTATCTAAATTAGATTAACGACAATTCTATGGTGAAAAACTATATGAGTTCTAAGAGAAATATCCATCACCTCTATAGTTCTATTGCATAGTCTCGTTATAACGTAATGATATATTCAATGATTTGAATATTGATATTATGTGTGTCTACTATTTGGATCTTGATAGTCAATCACATCACTAGCGTGAAACATATTTTATTCCGTTAAAATTTACATTTAACTATTTCAATGTACTGAAAACACAAATTCATTTCCTTGTTCCCCATAAAATAAGTTATACACCAATTAGATTTGGCATTCAAAATCATATATTTTCACAAAAACACAAAATTACAAATATACTTTTTTTAATATTTATTAAAATTTAGTTAATATTTGAAGGAGAGAAAGAAAAATACTCAAATGATAAATGTCTCCATGGTTTACTTTTCATTTGTCACAGTGGCTATTGATTTGTTTTGTCACAAACTGTTCAAGTCATCAAATTACTCGTTTGCACACATACACAACATATTATTTAAAAAGTCAACATTTCAGGTGAATGTTTCGAATGCGCTGTAAAAAGCATACGTATATTATTACTATAAATGCATTCACATACATGCTATCAGTAAGCTAACACACACACACATATACACTCATATTCAAAAGTACATCTAAGCAACAATGTGAAAGAGAAGGAAAATGATGTGAATTATCATTAAAACTAATTTGTGCTATGATCTTTTTGCACTTAGAAACAAAAATAAGTGGAGCATATTACAATATATGATTAATTGTTATATCTACTAATTATAATTTCACATAACAATACTACTGATTATAACTTTTTGCAAATCTTGCTACTAAAATACTATTATTTAATCATAAACTTTTAAACAAACAAAAGAACATGATGTATCACTCAAAATATATGACAGAGAACAATACTTCACAGAATTCTAAGAAAGAAAAAAATATCGATTGCTTGTTTATTTTTTCTTACAATTAATTGTCATTCTCTTTTTTTTGAAAGCACAAACTTGTTTTTTTAGAAAAAAAAGGAAACTCAACCAAACAAACACATTTTTTTCACTTGAAATAAAAGTTAAAATTAAAAAGAAAAAAAAAGAGAAAGAAAATGAACGGAAACAACAACAAAATAATAAATGAAATTAATGAAGCATAAAATAAGGATTTTATTAGGTTGTTTTTTGGCCTAGATTGTTTCTTTTTTTGTAATCAGTTTGAACAATCCAAATATTGCACATTGAATCATGAACGATGAACCATCATAAGACTCTTGGTTAAACTTATATCGTATGTTCTAATCATTTTGATTAAAGTTAATTAAATCACACAAATACATATACACACAAATAATGTGTACATCTCTATATATTCAAACTCAACCAATGCACACGCACACACACACACTAATCTATTAAGAATGTGTATTTTTGATTGATCCAGAGATAAACATCTTGAAAAAAAAACATTAAAAAAGGTGTTCAAGTAACATTGTCATTTCTTCCATTTCATTAAACTGATTATTTTCAAAATATATCTTCCAAGTTAAAAAAAAGTTGATTGAAAAGTAAGTCAACTAAACAATATGTCAAAGAAAACAAAATGATAGAACTTGATTGTTTCCTTGGTTTCAAGGAATTACATATTCTCTAAAATATATATGTATATATCACTACCCATGTACGTATATGTAAACTGTCTTCTAAAAAAATTTTTTGTCAACAGTTTTTCACAACAATTGTTAATTCATTACTAAAATAAGTTTTCTGTAATCATGTTTATATGAGTACAATTATATGTAGGGTGGGGAGAATGGGAATTGGAAAATAACACCCAAATAAACATTAGGGTGAATGAATAGATATTGAATGCTAATGTAAAATATTTGTATGGAAAACAAAAACTGAACACTAGTAAGAAAAAGAAGGGATATCACTGACAAAAAATATTCATAAAATAAAAAAAATGAACCCAACATAAAGGATATTATTTCGTCGTAAAATGTATCAGTTTTATATTGTTTATTTAGTCTGTTAACTAACTCAAGCATGATATATATATATATATATATATACCATGAAACATACTAGCATACGGTAATCAAGATCACGCATAAACAAAAACAAACATACACAACCAACCACATTTATTCTTTGACCAATGTGATCAAATTATATTCATTGTATCTGTGACACAATGTGTCGAAATGTGTTTTTTTGAACTTTGTTATTCTGGTTTTTTTCTGACGAAAGAAATATTTGCTTATTGTAACTCTGTGAACTGTTAAAAAAAAGTTTTGTTTCATATGAAAACGACAATAGCAACGATAACGTGTTATGCTTCTTTTGATTTCACATTGCTTTTCCATACATTTTCACAAATATTTATATTGACTGGTAAATGTTTGATATTAATGGACTTGTAGTCCAGTTGGAAGCAGGCTGGATCACTAGATTGATTGGATAGAAACAAAGAGGGAAAGTGAGAAAGAAAGAATGGAAACGGATAAAGAAAATCGGTTGATAAATTTGAAAATTAAATGTTCAACTATTATGTTATATTCGAAACTTTCAGTCACTTTTTGTTCAATAATTAATTGACTGTTGAATCCATTATCTTATTCTGTGCTACATAGTATTGTTGACAACAACAGTTTTGGATAAGTTCAAATACTTAAAGTGAAATATTTACCAAAAATTAAACTCCAATATTCATCACTCAATGAGTGAGCACAAAGGATGTTAAGTATGTATTGAAAATGTAACCACTAACCTCAGCCACTTTTAATTGAATGAAGTTGAATAAAAGTTAAGGAATTCACAGATTCAAACGCTGTGAAACAACTAATTGTTTTCCTACAGGATCATTATGATTTTATTACTGGGTACGACAATAAAACTATGTATTGCAACCATGTTTAAGATGATTCTACTTGATGAAGTTTCATTTTGGAGCTTCGACAAAATCATCTACCTAATCTGTCTATCTTTTACCATTTCATAATGATTCTTCAATGAAAATCTTTCCGTTTGAAAAATTAGTATTAGTTTTTATTGAAAAACATGTGTGAGATAATTTGTCGTTTAAACTGTTGTACTTTTAAGTGATCAAATCGAAAAGCTTTTTCACGGTTTTTTTTAAATGAGTTCAAGGTCACGTTTTGGGTAATACATCGTGTAATTGCAGATAATTTATAAAATATCTAACAGATAAACATGACGGAATAGAAGTGAACAATTGACAGAACCAATGACTAGATAAATCTTCAGATCAATGATCATAAATCTTTTCAAGTTTTAATTTGCTTTTAAGGAAACTACTATTCAATAATTCAAGGTTTTGTGAAACTCAGTATTAAGCAAAACCTATGTCGTTGTCTGCACAGCAGCATTATATGTAATACTAACATATATATATATATATATATATATATATATAGATAGATAGATAGATAGATAGATAGATAGATAAATAGATAAATAGATAGATAATCGAAAGTTGATGTTAGCAGTGAAATAAATTTAAATTTCACTTTCAATAATATTTTTACTAACACAGCTATATCATGAAGCATAAAATAATCTATTTTATAGAGTTTGTTGATTGATTATGAAGCCCTAATTATTCTTGTCGATTGACAGATAACACTTTAAAATGATAGAGAAGATAATTAATTTAGATGAATATGCTTGGAAGTACGATGTTCTCAAAAGTGAAGGGTTCTACTTGAAGTAATAATTTTATTGAGATTGAGAGTGACAGTTTTACATTTGCCGAGGAAAGCTTTAAGTACGAAAACTTAGTAGCAACCAAACATCGTTATGAAATAAATCATATTTATTCACAACTCCCTTAGAAAATATTTGAACAGGTAGTCCCTTAGACATCTTCACAATTGGAAATTTCATTAAAATTGTTCTGGTATATCAATTGGTAAAAAGTCAGGAAAACCCTGTTTGAATTCACTTTCGTTAATTGATTCTAGACACACCTTTGATAGGACACTTTCAATGGTCACACTAATTACTTTATAAGCCGTTATATAATGGTTTATTTACCGTGTGAAGTTAACTTTGAACCATGTTACTTGTGTTGTATTTTTTCATAAAGTATAAGTTATAGTGCTTTCATGATATAAATCAAGTACCCAAACGTATTTATATGGCTGCGTTATCTTAATAAAGGAATGTATAAAGATGTCCAGGAAATTGAAAATATTCATTGTAGATATGTTGTGCGTTTGCTATATATGTCTTATATACATAAAACCATTTTAGATTCCGTAACTATAAAACATAGACTATGTGCTATGTGCTCATTCAAACTTCAGATACGAGGTGGTATTTGGAGGTAGTCGAGATGAAACATTGAACCACAGATTCGTGCTAACTGTCATTCGTCAGAAAGGTGATTTCCTTTTCGATGAGTCTAGAATGGCATAGAGTCTATGTCGAGTCTCTAGCATAATACATCCAACGGCCTCGTTACATCTCGATATAGTGCACATGATAACGAGCTACACTGCAATTTGTTCAGGAGGATTCGATTATCATTATTAGTGACTTAACATTCATAACATTAGTCACTGTTCAATGACCGGTCAATTTTAAGTATTCAAACTAGTCTAACTTTCATAATGACTATTGTATAACATAGATTACTAATCGTCGTATTAAAAATCATTTCTGTCTCAAACAGTTTTTACGTCTTCCAGAGTGATTTAATGATATTAAAGTAACAAGCAACTTTATCGTAAACCATCGTAGCAGCCACATTACTGAATTGTATTATGCAAAACTATATTAACTTTTAGATCCATTTACCAGAAAACTCCATTATTTCAATGAAGTGATTATCGATCAGTGACGTGAATTAATTGGTGTAAGAAAGGTTAATCACTGGATTTAGTTTAGTGATCTGAAGTAACTGATATACAGAGTAACTTGTAAATCCTGTGCTTCATTTCTGTCAACTGATCCAATGATGAGATACTATATTATGTAGCCGAATACTTCTTTATTATTTCATAGTTTTCGACGATAACTCAAATGATGTCAACCCATGACCAAAATTCTTGCTAGACACGACAAAGATTGCAAACAATTGACAAAATTTCATGAAACTTAATAGATTCTTACCAATATGTTTCATATATGGTTCATATTATATATTCAAATTTATATTTAAAAAAAGAATGGATAACATTCAGAAATCTTGTTTATAATTAGACTCGTTTAGAAAAAAACTATCCCAATCACCATATTGACACATACTACTGAATAGTTTAGATAGAAATCATAACACTAATTGAGCTCATATGGCTATTTTATTGATTATCTGTTTTGGTACCTTTCTAGAATAATAATTTAACAGTAATAGTTTGTTGTACTTATAAATTATTCAAGCATTTAAATAAACAAAAACGTTTCTTTCAATGACTCAGATAAATGAGGTTGTAAAATTTCCTCTCTTTACTTTTTTTTACGATTTAACCTAGACACTAGAAATGTTTATCGATACAATGGAATTTTTGTTGTTGTTGTTGTTGTTGCTGATTCATCATTTCTATAATTAGATTTTGTCTATCAGTTAAAATTTGATGTCTGGTCGATAAATTATTGGTATACACATATATGTACACCCTATAATCCTCGACCTTTAGTTTTGTTTCATCTAAACATATTATAAAACATAAATAACATGGTTTATTACTATTCTTCTCCTCTATATTTATGACATTAAATGGATCAATTGTATAAATGCCAAAGTTTTACACTTTTTTTTGCTTTTTACTAAAAGAAACAAACAACTATAAATTTAAGATTATGAATAAGCGGTAATGACTGAATAAATGATTATATTTGAATAATATATCAATTTGAATAAAGGAATATGACTTACTTGGACCAATCATTGAAGGTGCAACAGGTGTATGCATAAGTGCTTGTGATAATGAATAATTGTCAATTGGTCTAGAGAAAGGCAATAAGGCAGTAACAGCTTGTGCTGCTGCTGCTGCGGCTACAGCAGTTGGTCCAGTTACTAAATTATGTTGAACAGGATTTTGACTATGTAAAATTCCATTAGGTAATTTTTGTTGTGACATAAAATTAGTCAACTGTATAGTTTGATTAGGAATTGGTAATAAACCTCGATTATTTTCATTAGTAGGTGTTAAATTATTTTGTCCAATAGAATTACGTAACAAAAAGTTGGAATTCTGTAAAGAATTCGATGCCCAAGCCGCACGTAATGCTAACATTAATGAATCGGAATTATTTAAACGATTTGTTACATCCCATGAGGTTAGATCAGTAGCTGGTCCCAAAACACCAGGATTTGATCGTAATTGATTTGAGTTAATGACATTATGATTAGATAGTTGATTATCATTAGGTAATAAACAGTCAGATTGTTTTCTTGTACGTGAATGTCGTGTAGTCTCTTCATTTCCATTCATTAACGACGTTGATGTCAATGATTCTGGTGGTTCACTATTACGTTTCGATGATCTTACTTTTGTAGTACTAGCCAAAAAACATCAGAAGTAAAACAAAACAAAGAACTATATAGACTGTATATTAATTTCCTGCTTGTTCACTTTGTACTTACAAATCAGCCTGAAAATCTATTATGCTAGGGATTAATGGATACTTATTTAACTTTATTATTAGACAACTCAGAAAATTTCTCTTAGAAATCTGTAAATTTCAAAACTCACAAAGAACATAGTACTGTTCCAGACGACTGAATCGGAATATAGCTGTTCAAAGGTTTATCTTAATCAGTTTATCATAAAATGTATTTTCAGAATTGATTTAATTGTTCGTATATTTGATTTATTTAATTTGTATCTCCTTTACTTATGTAAAGATATACATTCTAAGCGATCATGAAATTGAACAGTTAACTATGTAACAATTGTAGGAGATAAATATCAACAAATCTACCATCTAAAACCCCAAACGACTGTTTTGTGGGGTTTTTTCATTCGATTTACTTTATTATGAATGAAAAAACTTTGGAAAATATATCATCTTTAGAGCATTTATCTTTCTATAAAAGATAACTTCGCTTTAATATAATCATGTTCAATGATCCATTAAGAAATATGACGTTTTGATTATTATAAATTATATTGAATGTGTGTGCGTGAGCGAGCGAGCGCGCATCAGTAATTTTACGTGTATTATGTGACACGTGTAAGTGAAGTTGTCATGGTTGATGTGTAAAATATAATTCAAGGATTCTGATTATTATCTTTCTTTTCATTTCATTTTCTACATTAATTTTGCTTTTGATATTATATTCCATTTTATATTGAACAATGAATGTATAAAATGATGATATGTTAAATCTAAGATGTATTATAAATACTTCTTTTCAATATACGAAATCACTATATTATTGATAAACGAAATAGGAAATGAATTGAACTATGAATATGATTGATGCATGAAAAATATAATTTGTTAGTAAAATTCGATGCGGCTCGGATAGCTCAGTAGTAACATCGCTGACTGTGAAGCTGGGTGACACGAGATCGAATCTGCCAGGGAGCAGCAGTTCCCTCAAGATTACAGGTACACCTTGCTGAAGAGTTCCAAGTAGCACGAAACCCGGGTCCAGGGTTTCCTGTCGACTACCTCCAACTACCATCTAATCTCAATATGTAGTGCCCTCAGTGTCGAGTCACCTAAACCGGTGGCTACATTGCAACATGATCGATAGCATTCGATCTGCACTAATAAGGTTTAGACACGCATGGCATTGATCGCCACCCAGTGATCAATCAATTGTGATGAAATTTATGATTTACAGTAATGGTGATTTATGTTAAGAAACAATTGTTTTTTACTTCATACAGATACTTTTGGTAGTGTTATGTTCGTAGGGATTAACAGTAAATAGAAAAACCTTTTCTTATCGTTCCCATAAGAATCGCCAATACTTCCTTTAAAAGTAATGATAACCTATTCAGTATGAGATGTAGTTAGTGCCGGAAATGGAAATTTTTAAAAAAATTTCCAGCTCAAGTATGAGATTCATAGGCTTCGTTTTTATCAAACCAAGTAATATAAATCTGTGAAATGCGGTTCAGTAATTGCAAGCTATATGCTGGTCAGTTTGAATAATCCTGTACCCGAAAATCCACAATGTTTTTCATGAATTAATTTAGAAATAATCTTTTCATGTGTTTTAAATTAACCAAATTATTATGTAGTTTTTAAATTCTCTATAATTAACGGCTTACCTTGGTTGATCGTCTGATGGTTTTTGTCTATCGGCCAGTTTAACTTCTAATGGCCCTTTACCATTTTCTAATGTGATTTGTGCATTACGAATTCCATCGATTGCTCTTTGAGCATCTTCAGACCGAACAAAACGTACAAATCCGGCACCTAATTATGTGAAATGAAAACAATCCCAACATAATTATACAAATATTATGAACATTGTGTGATTGATAGTTAAGAACCAATGGGTTGTAGTACAAAGTCATATGTAAATATAATTTTTTAAAAAGAAATGAGTAAAAATAACCCATGTGAAACTTGATGACTTAAAATAGCCATAACCGATTATAGTGTTATAACAATCTTTTAAATTCCAACTGTTTAAATTACATCAGCGGGACGGAATATACGAAGAGTAGCTGTGAAATTGATTTAATCCATAACCTAGTCATCAAACAAAAGTGATAGTCATTTGGAACATTGGCTAAAAGTTATTTTGTTTTTATCGATATATATTTATGTTTCTGGGTTATTAGTTACAACTATGGAACTTTTTCTAAAAAAAGAGCTATATTTTAGGTTTAAGTGTGGATCACAAATAAAGATAAAATATGAAAACTGCTTACAAAACTGATATCTCATACTTTCATGAGTAAATCAAAACTAAGAAGACATTAACAATAATTAATGATAGTACTCATGTATCGTATAGTGAATAGATTATTATTTTGTCTAGCCTCAGTCACTACATACTCATAGATCATAAACCACTAAAACAATAAAAACATACTGTTATTTAGAAAGATTCATAGTCAGGACTGAATTTGAACAGTCTTTGTTGATATATAGCTCCTTTAAAGGGATATTACGATGATGATTAAATTTACAACTTGGATAATGATTAGTTGTGTAACGTAGATCTCACACTTTAATCTATTGAAGATTTGATAGTTGTATATACGTAGTTCATACCTGTAATGAAATGCAAGTACCTCCAGCTAACAAGTCCTTAATCAGAAGAATATCGGGACGATACTTCAAATACACAAATAAAATATGAATCAAACTGAGAAGAAAACCTATTAGTACCTGTACAGAAATTATTCGATCTCTTTGTCATTACAATAGCAGTTGCTATAGGTCCATAAGGTTGAAAGATTTGTTTCAAATCTTCAACATTAGATGCTGTCCACGATTCAGGAATATTGGTAATATAAACATTTTGTGGATCTTTTTCAGATTCCTAAGATGAATGGAAAAAACAGAAGGGGAAGGTGATCTTCAAACAAATATTAAAAAACCGATAAATTGTTACTTAGATTCTTTTATTATTTCAAGTGGTTACTTTTTCTTTTTTTTTCAATTTTTCTGTCGCAAAATAGTTAAGACAGAGGTCCATTTGGATACTGTTGCATTTTCATAGATTAAGTTACATAATGATGTTGGTCAAACAACTTAAGTTCCTGAATTCGATCTCCGTCGGGTTCGTGGATGTGCACTGTAAGGAGTCACACATTTGGATGAAGCAGTTATTTAAGGCTTTCTCCCATGTTCAACAGTTGTTTAGTTGGCATCGATACGTTGTTTATTCCAGAAAATAAAATATTATTTACAAGGATATAAACATGAGGGAATTTTGAGGAAAAACCCAGCACAACAGTTGATTTAGAGAGACATTTATATATTAATACTTATGTAATATCTTTTACATAAATGCATTTCATAGTTCATTTAATTTCAGAATGCGATTCCCTAGAGCTGTAAGGGATATATCAACTTTAGACCTGTTAACATTTTTGTTAGATTACAGTTTGTTTCGTTTCATTATGTTAAACTAGGGATGACTGATCAAGCATACGATACGTTTGATATCTTGAAATAATTAATTCATTTTGCCAGATTCTAACTAGTCATCTGTCTGCATATACTTCTACAAAATTGGAATGTTAGGCAAATATCAATCCGGTTTGTCTATAGATCTTGTCAGACTGTCATTTTCTGGTGAACCTTTGAAAATCAACGAAAATTCGATAGTAGTTATCACCGATACCTTTATGGTATCTCAACAGATTGTATAGCTCAAAGTTTATAAAAATACTATCGATGATAACTTTGTTATTTCAACTTGGCTGAATACCACCGATCTAACTAGAACATTTAGAAACTATAAAACGTCAGGAATTGCAAGTTAATTGATAAGAAGTAACATTAAGTTTCACAATATCCATGATGCCGCTATTTTAAGAATATCAGTCCTTTGAATGGTATTCAAATGCATGATTACCTTGGAAGTTCTGAAAGATATGGATTATAAAGTGTACAAATACCACTGAGTAATCTAAAATAAACAATAACATTTGTACTAACCATTATGACGATTTTATTTTATTATTATATCCATCTCTCAAATACAATCCGTTTATCATTAAGTTGATTTTAATGTAAAAACGTAAACGAATACAAACTGAATATTTCAAATAAAAAACTACAATGTAATTTTGGTTTCTTTTCTTTTCTCCTAATCTGAAACTCGCAAACAGATTATTGTATGTTGAACCATATTAGTTGCTAAGTTTTGAGTGTCTTTCTAAGGTACAACATTATTAACACAAGCTTAAAAGATAAAAAAAAATGATTTGTTCAAATCTATATATAGCTTAGCTGTACATCACGTAGACGCGGGATGAGTTTGTTTTATTTGAACTGATCTACATGGTAACTAGATGAATTTTCGCTTGTTTCTAAGTATTTTCTTTTGTATCAGTTAATAAAATAATACTGAAAGCTTTAGTTTACGTTAAGATCAGCTGTTTGATAATTTAGGTAGAAAATAACTTTGGGAAGTATTAATGTCTTACGAAGATCAAGATTTCAATTATGATTATGTACAGATTATAGTATCCATTTTATTATCGGGAAGAGAGGGGAAAACAAACAAGATATTATTCATGGATAAGCAAATAAAATAATAATTAGAATGAATAAACAAGGAAATGAGTGCATGAACAAGAAGAAGAGGGAGAAAACAGAAAAATGAAAAAAAACAAACAGATTAATTGCAATAAATCAAATTATGTAAATGGGTATGAAGACATGTGACTGAAATTGATCAGATTGTTAACAATTCTTTCTAGTGAAGGTATCCATTCCCCCTCCCTTTCTTTCCTGTTATATATATATGTATCATGTAATTCATCTTAGGAAATATTATATGAAATGTACAAGTAGACAGGGCTGTAAAGGAGCTACTAAATGAATAATCCCATAACTTACAGAATTCATGCCATAATTTTCATATTATGAATATTTATATATTCATATATGAATATTCATGAAATATTCTATCCTTATTCTTAAATAAGTTTTTTCAGTAATGAATAAGATGAAGTTGTTCCCTTTAAATAAGATAATCTGAATATAGATTTTATGTAATTCATTCTCTTTGAATGTATCCTCACACTCAAAAAAGAATTAACCTTCTACATGTAAACATACAAGCTCAATTGTTCTAATTGTCAATTATCCTTTCTCATTTGTTTTTGGTTATGATGAGTCATTGAAATTCTAGTGTAGTTTTTTATTGTTTATTGTACTGATAACTTATTCTAACCAGTTATAAATGAAATGATTAAAATAGAGTTCAGTCAATTCATCTTTGGGTGAACTAGCTTTGAAAAGTTTTGCTTCAGTTTTATTTTATTATTATTTTTTTGATTGCCTATTAAATTAATCATGTTAACTTTTCTAATCTTGGATGTTTATCATAGAATTAACTCGAGCTTTAAAGACCATTTAGTTCTTGAAGTTGGTGAATTTATTCAACATTACTAATTTCAATGTGTAACTTGAAAGTAATTACTTAACCGTAATCCTTTTGGACACTTAAGTTGATTACGTAAAAGAACAATTGAAAATCAGATTAATCAATACATGAAATCATTATTTCGGTGAACTAAGTTTTATTTTGTCAGTTTACTTTAAATTTGATGACTTTGAAGAAACTATTAAATCAATAGTTCAGATGTTCATATCAAATGTAAAAAAATGGTTTATTTTATAATTTTAGAACCTATTTATAATCCAGTCTTCTTTTAAGTCGTTTTTATATTGATCACTGATATTTGATATTGATTGCTATCATGGGATTGTATTAGATTGTAGAAAGTGATTCCTTAACATCATACTTTATTTAATTCTGACACATATATGCAATCATAATTTGACGATTAAGATATTCTACTTTGATAATAAGCCAATTTGTACAGGTTAAAATTTATGTGATTTCAAATACCAAGATATCCGTTAAATCTAATAGAAATGGTTAGACTGAAAGTAAAATGTGGTCTTATTTATAATAAATGAAAATAGGAAAGAGATTTATAACATGGAATTCACTGAAAGCTACAATTAATAATCATCAACTATATTACATCGGTTTATTTATACGATTAAAAAAAGGAATCGTAAAATTCACCACATTTTATTCTAGTGTATAATTTTTCAACACTCAAGTACACATACTAATCATCTTAATTTCACAATAAATATCATTAACTGTTTGGAAAATTCATTTAAACCCTATAAACAGACAATTTGATCCTGCTAGTTTGAAGTTCATTTGTATGGTCAATAGAAGAAAAAAATACCCATAAGATTTCATCAGATCTAAAAGATTATTTAGTCAGTTTAAGAGATTTAAAAAAAATATTATTGACGATATTATAGTTTATTGACGAACCAATCACGTATAGGATAACAGGTCTCGAGTTTTGGCGCAAAATGCACTCATCCCTTTGGCTAAATGGAGTTTTTTCATTATAAATGATGTAAATTCGTAATAAAAACCCGCAACCTAATTCCTAACCTTAATCAACAACTGTAAATTATAATTGTAATTCCTCACATAGGTTTATAACCCTCATTTTGTCCTGGTTATAAGGTGGATACTCTCAAGGTCATTCTAGCGTCGTTCATAGGTCGTCCATAAATTATAATCTCACTATATTATTTTCTAGAAAATAAGTTGACAGTACGAAATTCCAGTGAAACAATTCAGGTAAATATATTACTTGGTATCAAATGAATAGTTATGCTCAGGTAAATAATGTAAAACAAAAAGTATCCCTTGACGTTTAAAGCAACCTCTTAATTTGATAAAATATAAATATAAATAATTTATTAGAAGAGGTTTTTGTGGATATTATAGTAATTTCAATAGTTGAGATCATGAGTCAATTGAAGCCAGAACACTATAGAAAACTTGGGGCACTGGATGGCTGTTTCTACCTATTGTGGGACTCTTCAGCAGGGCACATCCACGACCCTGTCACGTGAGACTCGGACCCAGGATCTTTAGACCAGCTTCAATTGACTCATGCTCTCAGCAACTGAAATTACTATATTTTCCACAAAAGTCTTTTTTGATACTGATCAGCATATGCTCACTAGTGACTTGCTTCAAGAGGTATTTCATGGAGTTTTAGTGAGCAGTGACCAGTGTAGTTCAACCAGGTCTGTTGTGAGATAGTAACTCACTGAAGACAATGGTGGATGTGTCGCTCAATTTCGTGGATTAGTTGGAGTTAGACGTTAATACCATTGGATGTCGACTCAGTGGTCTAGAGGTCGTGCTTTTGCGCGAAACCGGTAGGTCCTGGGTTTGAAATCTCGTGGATGCTCACTGCTGAGGAGTCACACAATGGAACGAAACGGCTTTCAGGTTTTTCATGGTGGTCTAGCTTTAATTGACTCATGATCTCAACAAATAATTTACTTGGAAAAAAACGAACCATATGCAATCTTAAACAAATCAACTTACATAAGCAAAATTTACATATAATTCACGATTTCCTGATTTAATATGCAACAAAGCAGATTTAGCCGCTTCATTATTCACAAAGTCAATAAATCCGTACACTGAATAGACAAGATAAAATAAATAAATTTAATCGAATTTACAAATAATAAAATAAGGCGTATAAAGGAAGCGTTGGCTTATAAATATTTTTTGGAACTGACAAAACTGTTTTCTTTGCTGTCACAATGATTTTTACTATTATTCTTAGAGGTTTATGATACGATGATACAACAGTACAAATCATATGTATTAACTAATCGAATAGTTTTGCTCTTACAAATTACAATTTTCATGAGAATATCATTTAAAACGAAGCGTTTAAAAGATTACTATTAGCAAGTTTTTGTCTACGCAAGACATTCAATATCCGTTGGCCGGATACCATCAGCATCAGCCTATTGTGGGAGAGGACAGACCAGCATCAAAATGAACAGACAATTAGGAAAAGACGTTGGAAGGGGATAGGACATATATTACGGAAATCACCAAACTGCATCACGGGTCAAGCCCTAACTTGGAATCCTGAAGGGAAACGGAAAAGAGGAAGGTCGACGGGCACACTTCGTTGTGAGTTGGAAGCAGACATGAAAAGAATGAATAGGAACTGGAAAGAACTGAAAAGGAGTGTCCAAGACGCAGTTAGATAGAGACTTCTGGTGGGTGGGATATGCTACTCCATGAGGAGTAAGAGTCGTATTTATGTAGGTAAGTATGAAGTTGAGGGCTCTTTTCATGGAAAAACAGAAAAAGTATTAACTTCAAGTAGTCATCATAGTATTAGAGTAAATAGCAGAACAACGTATAATATTATACATTATGAACCTATGTAATACTATGTAATATGCTTTGAAATGTGCTGAAAGTTCACACCATTTATGTTTTTTTTTTCAACTGATGATATTAATAGAATGGTTAATATAACTCTTTAGGGTTTAAACTCACAGTATTCAGTATATATGTACAAAAACAACTAAAATAATCTTGATATCCTCTCATTTGAAACTAATACACAGATCTTCATTATATTTGCATTAGGATAGAACTCAGAATTAGATAATCACACGAGATTGTGATTCAAAATTCAACGAGTATTCTACTCAGTGCAAAACAATATATTAACCGCAAATGCATAGAAAAGTATGAAATGCATTTTCCAGCATAAAATAGTCATTAGAGATTGGAATTGAAAAATGTCGATATACTTGTAAGCTGATCAATTTCAACCATCAAAATGTAATAAAATAATTCGAACTGATTTCGTAATACATCAGTTAAATCTGTCAAATTCACAATGTTGTTTATATTAAAAAGAAACCTTTCACTTAAAATGCTTCGATGCTTTATAACAGTAAAATGTTTTAAATATTTGGATTTTGATCGAATAACATCATTCAGATCATTAGTTTCGAAGAGTTTCTACTCTTAGTTAATGCAACGTATTAATTATTTGCTTAATTTTACATGAAAGGTTCATACCTTTAATGTTAAATTTCTGGGTTATTTTTTCAAAAAATGAAAAAATGATGTAGAAACTAACAGGAACTGTTTAGAGCTTTGATAAAAACAATATTCATATTATCTTACTTTCGCCTTCAGCTCCAGCAATTAACTTCACTGATCGTATCAATTTTCTATCTGGTGCTAAAGTATGCAATTCTTCTTCTGTAAATGAGGTTGGTAATCCACGAATATAAAGGTTTGTTTTAGATGCATGCTATGTGCAAAAAGAAAACAAAAAAGTCCAAAATATTTGTTTGTGTTTAACAATATTGCAATAATAAATGTTAAGTTTTTGATTGAGATCATAAAACGATTGACGTTAGACCACCATTGAAAGCCTGAAAGCACTGGACGTCCGTTTTTTCCTATAGTGGAACTTCTCAGCAGTGCGCATCCACGATCGTGTATGGTGATCTAGCATTAATCAGTTCATTATCTCAATAAAAATCTAATAATCTTTACAACTGCATACTGATAACAGATGTTAAATTGTGACATTGAAATTTGACAAAAGAAATACTAGTGTGTAAAATTTAGCAATGACGTCAATGAAATGGATTTGGCAAAGTATTTTGGTAATGTAACTTGAAAAGTTGGGCATCTGATGATGACCATACAGATGATATTTTCTTTAAATGCTGAATTTTAGAAATCAACATAGTACAAACAAACTACTTGAATTTATTTAATCTAATTAGGAAATTTTCTTACATTTGAACGGTTGAAAGCATTTTCGTTGATATCTGCCATTATTTAGCTTTCATTGAGGGTAACTTAATTAACAATGGCTTTTTAGACAAAACAAATATGTTAAACTTTAAATCCATGTTGGAATATCTATAAACATTGTATATAGTGTTAAATCGGAAATAAAATGACTAAGTGAAACAATATAATAAAACAAATATGTTCTTGAACATCGGTTTTAATTGTAAACAACAGTTGGAACCAATATATCATTCACTACTAATCATTACAACAGATATGACCTTGAAATTTATCATATCTGTATGCATTTATGTTTTCTTATTTATCATGTAACAAAATCATATACACTTCCTATGGATTAACCGTTATCATTTATCCACTCAATAGTCCCCTTATAGCTTATATCTGTCTGATGTGATAATCAATACATGCAGCATTATGTTACATTAACTGGTAGACTTTCCACTTAAACAATCAGCTGCTTTATGCATAAACTAGTGAGTTCTTTTAAGAAAACAGAGAAGACTTTGAATGCAAGCTAACAATTGTAATATTCTTACAATCGTCACGTAATGATTAGTATTTACGTATATTATTATTTGTCCATAAAATAATCGTTAGTGGTCAATATTGGAATCATTAGGACGACTAATACTTTGTATGAAGCCGATTATTAGGATGGATCCATATTACAATGAGTGTTTGTACTTGAAAGTGATTTCTTATTAAAATTCCAAAATGTATCCTGAATCATAGTACTAGTCATTATCAAATACGTAAGCAATAGTTACTTGCAAAAAAGTTGAAACATAGAAACCAATCATCCAAACATTTCACGAAATCACAAAAAGAAAATATTTGAATGACTATTAAACATTAGCTTATACTGATAAACTAGTTGTAGGAATGATTAACTTATTGAATGAGTAAAAAATCAATTTGGTATTTGATTAATTCTACATATATAACTTAAATCTAAAATTGTTTCATTATTGAAAATGTTAACAGGTAACTACATCATACGGTTTATATCTAAATTGTTATTTGTTATTATCACCTTTTGCTTTGTGAATGTTACAAGAAAATGCTTATCCTATAATACTTCTAATCAAATCAATACAAGTAATGAATAAGTGAATCATAATAAATAAACTTACTTTTTTCTGACGATTAGCAACTGTCTGATTATTTAATGTATTGTTATAATCATCTAAAAATGTGGACATTAAACCTTTACCAGAATATTTTGACTGATTATTACTGGAATTAATTAATTTTCCAGAAGTCATACCTGAACGTGTTGATTTAGCATTACCTAATAAACTTGGTAGATCATTGGTAAAACGACGTAATTTAAATTGATCTGTAGAGCGATTCATAAGTGAACAAATATTAGATTGATTATTCTTTTGTTTAGATGAATTATTACGATTACTATTATCATCTGAACTAGATGTAGAATTGAAATTTTGATTAGAATAAATATTTGATATTAATGGTTGAATTAATCCAACTGAAGGTAAAGGAAATGGACATGATGGATGTAAAATTACACCTTGATTCGACGGCATCACTAAAGAATTAGTGGAAGAGTTTTGAAGTTGTTGAATTCCTGTTTGATTATCTAAGGTAATTTGACCAGGTACCCATTGATGAAATCCATTAAGAAATGAAGGTTGTATAGGCACTGAATAACTCGATATAAGATCACGACATTGATTATTGTCAGTATTTTTAAGAATAGTACTATAATTTGGACCTGAATACAATTGCTCTGGAACTTCATAACTAGAAACACAACTTGTAGTACGAATGGTGGAAGAATTATTACAACAATTGGTACTACCGTTATTTCCATTCACTTGTGGAGTAATAAATGTTGATGGACTACTATATGCTGTCTCATTTGATACAGTTGTTGTGCCAAGGCGACCAACAGTAGTAGGAAAAATTAATGCATTACTTGGAAGTGCAAATAACTGCCCTTCATTGTTATAGAAATAAAAGAATGTAGTAGGAGCAGTTAAATATGAGTCTGGATTTGGAATGTAGTTAGTTGTTAGTCCTGTGGTAGTTGTCGTTGTTGCTGTTGTTGCTGTCGACACTGTTTCTATTTTTACTGCTGATGAGACTGTTCCACTTCGACCAGTATTCATAATATCTTCGTTAGACACTTGCGATGTATCAATTTGTATTGGATTAGTAATTATTGAAATTGGTTGTCCCGATGAATTGGTTATATTCATAAGCATCACTTCTGAATTTGATTCTGTTGATGCATACTTAATCGAACCTAATTTATCCGAATTACTATCTGAATTCAAATAGCCTGTGGTTGACTGAATTCTATTAGTTTTACTATTATTATTACAACTATTACTTCCTTTGTAAATGGACATAGTAGAACCATTTACGAATTTAGACTGTACATCGTTAGTAGTTAAATCTTTAGCTGAACTTGGACGATTTTCAAAATTATCACTATTTATCGCATCCTCTGGTGCTAAAGAATTCAATTTTGTCATTGAACGAGATATAGGATTGGATATGATTTTGTTTACATTGTTAGTATGAATTTGACTATTGGACAGTTTAGAATCACGTTTCGAATGATTAATTTCATCATCTAAACAAATAAAGTAGATCAAGCAAATCAAATTATCCTATTGAGATAGAATATGTAATCTAATTAAAATTCGTCATCAGGTTAAATACATCTAGATTGAAGAAAAAACAGTGGAGTGGTTAATATGTTCTATATCTTTTTCTAGGCCTCGACAGATCAATGGAAAAGTACACTAGAGTTCATGCAAAAAGAAACATAAGTAGCCAATAGTACCTTAATTCAAAAATACGTTTTGTACTGAATATTGTCGTAATGACATTAAAGTCGTGAAAATACTTTTCATTTCAACGATGATATACATTATGAACTGAATTCAGCTAAGGAATCAGTGAAAGCCAGAAGTCAATGAACACTTGCTTAATTTTCCAAAATGAATATTTACTAATCTTCCACGGTTTGAATCTACAAACACTAACGTAACACACCTTATTATCTTTTTTTCGAAATCTCTGTAACAGTAGTATTTTGTGATTGAATTTTTGACTGTATCAAACAAACTTCTACTAGGAAAAGTAAATTTTAATCTATTACACTGATTTAATGTCTAAGAGCTTCATCTTCAGTTCACAATAATACACTATGCGTAAGCGACATTAAAGATGTTTTCAGACAATAAAAATTAATGTATTATTAACATAGTTGAAGATTTATGACATGAATTATGTCAGTTTTCTTACAGATACCATTATAAGATATAGATCAGCATAACCAGAAACTTGTTAATCATAACTGTAGAAATGTTGATCATTTCTGAGATCAACTATAGTATCTGTATATAAATAAGTCGTATTGTTTCCCTTATTTCACATGTGTTTATTTACTAATCTTAATTATTCTTTTCAACAGATTGTTTTATTATCTTTAATTAAAATCGTGTAAACGATAGCTGACCAGTGAAGCCGTCGATACGATTGTGTTTTGTTCTCGAAATGGTGAAATTTATCATGTATGGGAATGTTTTTCAACTTGTAAAGTAATTCTCGTATTAAATTTGGTTAAAGTTTATTAGTACTACTGATTTTCTAGTACCTAAGGATTGATTTGGTTTTTAAATGACAATCTTTTACTTTTCTACTTAATACAAGCCATATATCACCTAAGGTGTTTTTAGCCAAAAAATAAATACTTTTATTAATATAAAATTGCAAATTAATAAGGCTGGAAGTAATGCTTTCTGTCTAAGCTCACAATTAATGTTCCCTTACATATCCTGATACTTTAATAAGCTAGAATAATGTTGGATGGTGGCTTGCAGTGGAATCCAGGACGAGTGTTCCGTTCTCTTTGGTACTCTTTGGTTGACTGTACCTGCATCTCAGAGTTGATAGTTACTACAGGACTAGATCGATCGTATTTAATTTACTTATCTATACGTAAAACACTGCGAGCACATTATAGCCGCCGATAGATTTTTATCGCTCCCTAGGTCAGCTAACTGCAAATGATGCCACTGAGCAAAAGTGTACTTTATTATGAACATTTGATGGGTCTCTTCTCCTGCCTAAGTAGTCTTTTGCCTTTTTTGTTTGAATAATGGAACGAATTAGGTAAATCTTTTTAAAATTATGGATTGTAAGTCTTTAATACTCACTAATAGGACGATTTATTAAATTACTCTATAACTTCTGTTCATTACCACCATTACTGTATGCGGTAATAAACTAATGTATATGTAGTGTCGGTTGATAAGTTAAGCTCACATAGTTTATTCTGGATTCCGGACAAACCAGTTTATTCATTCTTATTAAGTCTTATTTTAACCTCGTCAATTATTTGCTTATCAACATTGACTATTCATATGTAAACGAATGTGTGTGCATTTCATATCTTACATTATCACATATCTGTGACTATAAATATCGATTAACGCTTGATTAAATCGAGTTGGCTTACACACCTTCAATGCACGCCATTTGGCTTTGCTCTCTTCTGTTTGCTTCATTCCTCTGAGTGTCTGTTCAAATCAATCAGTGCATAAAATATACGTATTCAAAACTTCCTTCTCGTATTTGACTTATTTAATACCGTCATTTGTTGACGTGATTTAAGCCAACAATTATATACGTGTATAGCAAGGATGTATACTTCAGTAGAAATCACTCGGTAAAAATCATTTGTTCAATCTAACTGGAGTTAGATAGAGGGCCACTAAATATACATAATATTTTCACACACAATCATTCGCTAATCAAACACCTGAAAAACAAACCAGTTACCTTGCATTGTTCTTCAGTATTCAGACTTTAGAAGATAAAAGATTTTAAAATAGAAGTACTGGACTATAACACATACACAAATTATATACAAATTATTCTTTACAGAAACTAGATAGTTGCGATACAGAACTGAATAACAAGTTGATGACAAATTTACAAGAATATGTGAATGGTGTAAGATTTATTCATAGTTGATGAGTTCAATAAAAGCTTACAAATAACACAGTATAAATGCATCATACACAACTTCTTTAATAAATAAGACATAAAATACATATTTATACCGATTTACCAGTGAATAACTTTCAAAGTTTCATATTTTCACTATCCTATCAGCTTATATATTACATATGAACTAAACAAAACGATTTCTCATTAAAACATAAAATCAAACTAGTAACAAATCAAAGATGGATAGTGGCTGGCAGTAGTATCCAGGACACGCGTTTCGTCCTATTTGGGACTCGTCAGCTGGAGGTACCTACATCTCAGAGTTGGTGTTCACTCCAGGATTCGAACTCAGTACCGTTCGCTTCAAACGCTATCTGCTTGTGAAGTGAAATGAAGTTTAAATGCACTTGGTGTTATTTTACTTGTATCTTCCCATTGTTATTTAGGAATGCAATTGATCAGTCTCATGTTAGCATATGCTTGAAGCGAATGGTACTGAGACCGAATCCCAGAGTGAACATCAACTTCGAGATGCAGGTACGTCAAAACGACGAGTCCCGAGTAGGACGAAACACGCGTCCTAGATTCCACTGCTAGCCACCATCCATCTTTGCTTATAAAGATTGTAACTTAAGACTATATCGAGGCAATCCGCACAGAATGCATATATACTAATATGAGACTGATCAATTGCAGTCCTAAATAACAATGGGAAGATACACATAAAACAATATCAAGTGAATTTAGTAACAAATCAATTCATTATAAAATGTCTATATTCTATAGATATAAGTACTTAACTAAACAACAACTAATTAAATAATTCAGAAAATAACGGTTATAAAATTTTTAGTTCAACTAACTTACACTACTATATTTCAATCATTTAAAAACATTTTGATTATTTCAATCTTATATAAACTAGCTTTTGGATAAATTTTTTAAAAAAGATTTAACAGTTGAATATGTCACATTAATTTAATAATATAGATTCAATGCTTAATCACGTGATGCTTTTCTTCTCAGTAACAAAATATTTATGTCAAAAATCACCACAGGATTTATGTCATATGGTTTATTTATTCCCTTTTTTTACTTAAAGGTACATATTATATAATATTGAATAATAAATAAAATGAATCTGTTTACCGAAAAGAACAAGCAAACAAACAAACAAACTACTTTTGACATTCAATAATTTTCGTAAATTGTTTTTTTGTTTGTTTTTTAGTTGTTTTTTTTTAAATTGAGAAATTGTTTTTAGTGTTAAACAAAAAGTTATGTGATTTTTTTTGTTTTTTTTCATAATTAATTTTATTGAAGCCTTTTAGTTATTGTTTAATAAATAGCTAATCTGTGTCGGATAGAAGCAGATGTCTACCTCAGTACAATGGAAGATGGTCGCACAATATCGTGAATTAGCTGAGGTTAGACATTAACACCATCCGATGCCGGCTCAGTGGTTCAGTAGGTTAAGTGTTCGCGCGCGAGACTGAGGGCCCTGGGTTCGAATCCCGAGGGCAGGATCGTGGATGCGCATTGCTGAGTAGTCCCACAATAGGACGAAACGGCTGTCCAGTGCTTCCAGGTTTTCTATGGTGGTCTAACATCAATCGGTTCATGATCTCAATCAAAAACTTAACACTCTCCAAAAACACTATACTGGAAATGGGAAATAGTAGGAAATATAGTTAAATTTAAAACAAAGGGTTTCAATGTTTTATTCTAAATAGCTATTAGATGAGGATAAGAAAAAATAGTTTTATTTACTTATTTTTTGTAATTTAAATTCTAAATTGTTTTCAATACGCATATCATTTAGCACTTAGAAAGTAGGTTTAGATTTGTCAGTTCCATTATATTTAGTGGTGAATTGTACTGATTTTAGTAGTGGTCATTATGTTGGATAAATATATAAGTTTATGATGAATGAACGATTTATTAGTTAGGGTTATAGAGATTAGTTTCATTTAAGTGTGGTTCTCTTCTTAGATTAACAGCACCTATGGGACCATTGTATATGATGAAGTACTCGATAAGTCATGTTTTGGTAACACATTCTCCTCCAGTAATGCTCACTCGTGATCCTGGCATAATATATCATTGAGAACTTATAATTCTAGCGATGAACTCATCATTTTCTGATAATACTTATCGATTTAATGATCTACACCTACAACTGCATATATGTGGTATCATAATATGACGGTTAACGCATGACTTTAGTAAGTAACAGCTCTGGTAATTAAAGTGTTGTAATTCAACATTCATGAAATTATTGTCTCTGTAAGCTGAATAATATTGGTTTAGCAAAAAATCGACTACCTAAATATGTTTGAAGTATATATCTTTTATGGAAAGTCTATAGTATGATTGTACTGATTGTACGAATACAAACATAAAATGTAACAAACTTTCCTGGATTGGCTATTTCGCAAATTATACAAACTGCCAGGTCTACACACTAAACATTGTTCTATTCTTTATTAGGAATCATCACAGTATTTAGAAACTGTGAGGATTGTTTTGGTTTGTACATCTCAGTAACAGAATCGGGAAGTATGAAGTATGTTTACGAAGCAGATAATTGATTCAATATTCAATCAAATGATA